TTGACATAGCCCTTTTGTTTATTTTGTCCATGAGAACAACTCTTTATAGAGCTAAAGCTACTTTGGACCCCACTTACTCTCCTGTCACAGGGAGTGGAATGCCTAAGCCAGGACAAAAAACACCATTCTCCACTTCGCTTTCTGAAAAGATTGCTTTGATTATCTGCGTGTGTCTATCTGTGCGCATGTGTGTAGGGGTACTCAAATTGGCCAGAGGGGTGTTGGATCTGCAAGAGCTGGAGTTACAGGTGGGTGTGAGTCACCCAGTGTGGATGCTGAGAACTGAACTCTGGTCATTTGTCCTATCCCTATTAGCTCACTTCAGCCTGTCCTTCTGAAACATCACACACAATTTCCAACTGACTTGCTCCCTGAAATTTTCAACAGCAATCGGCTCAGCAGGATGTATTTTAGAGCCTTCTGTTATGATCCTTCGCAAATATGAAACTGAAGGGATTTAGTAAAATTGATAAACACAGTGGCAGGGAATTTTAAAGATCCCATCACAGGAAAAAAATCCTGGAAGGTCCATTTCATTAATAAGAAATGACCGAAATTTAAATTAATATGCATAGTTTCCATGAAACAGGACACTGGAACCATTTCTAAGAACAGACACCTACCACTTGGCCAGAACAATGGCCCGGATAAACAATCAGGGTAAGAGAAACTCAAGTACTTTATCCCCACTTGGGAAAGAATAAACGAAGGACTCCTAAAGCTTTCTAACCCTGACGACTATGTTGGTTTGCTTATCAATTAACAAAAATAACTGTGCAAAAGACAGATGTGTATAGTTACATCATATTATAAATATAATTCTACAGTTTTTAAGTGTGGTAACTTGAATGTAATTGACCCCCATAATCTCAGGGAGCAGCACTATTAGGGGGTGTGGCTTTGTTGGAGTGGGTATGGCCTTGTTGGAGGAAGTGTGTTACTGTAGGGGTGGGCTTGGAGGTTTCCTATGCTCAGGATAGATACCACCCAGTGTCTCAGTTGACTTTCCTGCTGCTTGCAAGATGTAGGAGTCTCAGCTACTGTCTGCCTGTATGCTGCCATGTTCCCACCATGATAATAATGGACTAACCTTCTGAAACTGTAAGTGAGTCACCTCAATTAAATATTTCTTTATAAGAGTTGCCGTTGTCATGTCTCTTCGCAGCAATAAAAACCCTAAGATAGTATGTGTATTTGTGTACGTGTGTGTGAATGTATGTGCATGCATGCATGTGTATATGTGAATGAATTAGACATATGAGTGTGTGTACGTGTCTAAAAATGTGTATGTATATGTGTGTATATGTATGCATCCGTGTATGTGTTCATTAGTATATGTGTATAAGAGTGTGTACATGAATATATATGTGTATTATATATGTGTATGCATGCATGTGTATGTGTGTGAGTACATGTGCATATGTGTATATATGTGAGTGTATGTGTGTCAGTGGGTGTGCATGTGTGTATGTGTATGTATGTGTATATGTGTGCAAGCATGTGCGTGTATATATGTATATGTGTGTGCGTACAGTGCTGGGGTTGCATGTTAGGCCAGAACTTTACCAGTAGCCATGATCCCAGCTCCTTTCATATATTATTTCAATTTTGAGACAAAATCACAGTAAGTTGCCCAGACTAGCCTTGAACTCACTATGTAGCTCAGCAGATCTTAAGCTTTTGATCCTTTTCTTTAAAAGTTGGGTTTTCAAGACAGGGTTACTCTGTGTAGCCCTGCCTGTCCTAGAACACACACTGTAGACCAGGCTGGCTTTGAACCTGGAGATGCACCTGCCTCTGCCTCCAAATGCAGGGATTAAAGATGTGTGCCGCCACCACCAGTGAGCTTTTTTTGATCTTTTTGTGTCAGCCTCCTGAGTAGCTAGGACTTGGACCATAGGCTCAGCTTATTTACTTTAGAAACAGTGTCTGGGCATGGAGCCCAGATGGCTTCAGCTTCCCAGCTATTGGGCTTGTGGATATCACAACACCTAGTTCCCATGCTATTTTTTGTCTGTTATAACTTCTCTAAAACATTTTATTAATTTTTTGTTTGTTTGTATTTCTGAGTCAAGGACTCAACTGTGTAGCCCTGGCTGGCCTGGCTCCCTTTGTAGATGCACAGAAATCTGCCTGCCTCTGCCTCCTAGTGCTGGGATTAAAGGACTGTGCCAGGACACCTGGCTTTTAAATTATTTTTAATGGTGTGTGTGTGTATTTGTGTGAAACTCAAGAGACCAAAAGCATCTGATTTCCCAGAGCTGGAATTGAGCCACCTGACATGGTGTTGAGAACTGAACTTGGGTCCTCTGCAAGAGCAACAAGCTCTTTGAACCACTGAGCCATCTCCCTAGCTCTGTAGATAACACTTGATAAAATAGGTTGATAACTAGGCTAATCTTAAACCACTCTTTGAACGTAAGCATCAGACCCAGGCCTTTGGTATATGTGTTTATCATAAGCTGCCCAAAGCAAAGTAGTTTGCACCCTCTACAATATGCCTTGTAATTGAGGGGACCACAAAACTTCTACCTGGAAGATACTCACGCCTTTAATTCCAGCACTTGGAAGGCAGAGGCAGTCAGCCCTCTGTGATTTTGAGGCCAGTCTGGTCTATATCATGAGTTCAAGGCCAGACAGAGCTACATAGAGAGACCCTGTCTTTAACACACACACACACACACACACACACACACACACACACCAACCCCTAACGAGGCAACCAGCTTGCCTCTGTTTGCTGAGTGAAGGCCCCTCTCTGCCTTGGTAGCCTACCTAGGCTTGCCCCTCTTCCTGATACTACAATACAGATATGCCACAGTGAGATGAACTCAACAGCTTGTTCCAAGCCAAATATCTAAGCTTCAGAGAGAGAATATCAGGAACACTGTGGGTACTGGTTAATCAGCTCACAATATAAAAGACAGCTGGTGGTAACTAGGAATTAATCACCCAGGCCCACAGACATCGTGGTGGCTGTGAACAGCTGCTACCTCGACCTAACTAACATCCCTGTCTCCTCCTCAACCTCCTCTCCCCCTGAAATCCTCTTTTTCTTTTTTGAGCCAGAGTCACTAGGTGACACAAGCTGTTCTGGACTTCTCTAATGTAGACCAGACTGGCCTCGAACTCAAGGAGCTCTGCCTGCCTCTACCTCCCAAGTGCTGGGATTGCTGCATGGGCCACCACCCCCCAGCTTCTATCTTCTTTTAGAGGGCATCTCCCTCTCTTTACTTTCCTCTAATTCCCTCCTTTGCTCTTCACTACCTCTGAGACCCTTTTCTCTCTATCAAGTAGAAAACAATTAAATTCTCTCTTCAGTATTTGTTATAGTTTTCAATATGAGAAGGAAAGTCAGAGTTCAATTCCAGCTTAATTACGCACTGAGGTCTGTCCAACTGGAAAATGAAGATCAATGACATCTTCACAGTATTAATTAAATTCGATGAAATAAAATGTATATGTTGTCTGGCTGGATGCCTGATATTATGGGTCTTCTTCCATAATGCTAATTCCTTTTTACTTCTCTAGGAAAATGTTTAGTCCTGATTTATGACTTCAATGGAAAAACAGAAGGCCTCTGTTCCTTGCACAGGTTTTCCACTGAGATGGGATCACTGTCCAAAATTCTACACTGTCTGAGATAAAGGCTCCTTACCTTGGAGTACTCAACCTCAATTCTAAAATAAATCAGGGCAGAAAAATTTGAATAACTTCTTGAAATACAAAGTAATGATATTACAAACTAAGCCTTTTTTTTTTCTTTTTTCTTTTTTCTTTTTTTTTTTTAAACAGGATGGCCTTGAATTCACTATGTGGTCAAGGATGACCCTGAACTTCTGATCCCGACTTCACCTCCTGAGTACTATGATTATAGATATGAGCCACCATGACTAGTTTTATTTGGTGCTGGGCGTTGTGCATGCTAGGTAGGCACTCCACCAACAGAGTCCAGCCCCAGCCCAATCTAAACATTAAGAGGCACAAACATTCAATACAAAGCAATAAAGATTTAACATGGTAGTTTAAATTTCAGCTTAAAATTACTCAAGTAGTTTAGACCATGTGAGAAATGCCCAGTCTACTTTACAGCAACAGCTGCCGTACTAGGTAGGGCCTTATACAGTAGCTAGCCAGTCGCCAGCTGCATCTTCTACTGAATTTTAACTGTGCCCTAGAGACTGACCCTACTCTCTAGACTAGTTAGTTATACACTGTCCATAAAATTAAAACGGATTTGGAGAAGACACATCACTGGGAATCCATCTAGTCAATGCAATGTCTCCTAAACCAGGCTAAGATGAAACAAAATGGCCATGGGGGTTCCCTGCATGATGCTTCAAGCTGCAGACAAGACTGGAAAAGACAATTAATTGTGGGTATCAAGTAATGTCATCCCCTCAACTGCACGCCTGTAACTAGGAGGACATCCAGGAACAGAAACCAGAGCAGTCAGGCCATGAGGGGCACACTGTGTCACACCTAAGACCAAACACTCATATGGAGAGAAGGATTGGGAGTTGCTGGGTCACTAGTATTCTGGTTAGATGAAAGTTCAATACCAAAGGGCTCAAAAGATGAAGGAGATCGTTTCCTCAGGGGAAAATAAAACAAAGACAATATATGAAATGGAAAATGCAAGGAAAAGATAAAGATGAATGTTCTGAGAGCAGAAAAGTAAACCAACTTCAAAACCAAACTGCAAGGTGACAACTGAGAAGTAAGGGTGGGGGGCAATTGACTATTTCAAAAAGACAAGAGCCTTCAGGAACTAGAAATCCTGTCTGTGATTTGAACCGAAGAACAGCACATTCTCATCGAGCTCAAAAAGGAAACTGAGGTTTGCCACAGCATGCAGGTTGACGTGGGGGAGCGGAAGCAGCGACTGGACAGTGGGAGATGTCTATGCCTACTCCCCGCAGGCACGGCAGCGATACGCACGCAGCATGGCGGCTACGGGAAGCGACAGGCTTGGCATGCACTACAATAACTATACTTACTGGAGTCTTCCCACTGGAGCAAGTGCAGCTTCCAAGCAGAATAATACAAAAATCCCAGGACCAGGAAGAGGCAGAGGGCTAGCAGCAGATTGCGCACAAATACCAAGAGTCCCATCTTCACATGGTTTACAATGTCCTACATGACCTAAAAACAAAAACGGAAAGCCAGTAAGATGTAAAGCTATCATCATCCTTACACATATGTGAAGAAACTACAGAGATGGTTTCCAAGTGAAGAGCAATCACTGAGTCATGGCGAGGCACCTGTCTCAAGGGAACCTTCCGGATTGTTCAGCACTGAGTCATCCGTGACTTCACCCATGCCAACCGCCAATGGTGGGCAACTATAAGCTCTCAAATAATTATATATTTGGTTTGGGTCTGTTTTTAGACACAGGGTTTCTCTGTGTAACAACCCTGGCTGTCCTGGAACTCTCTTTGTAGACCAGGCTGGCCTGGAACTCACAGTGATGTACTTGCCTTTGCTTTCCAAGCCCGGCTGTAAAAGTTGATTTTTATTCCATATGGTTTTTGTGGCTGTTGTTGTTTTGGGGAGAGGGGTTGGGAGACAGAGTTTTTCTGTATTGCTTTGCAACCTGTCCTGAAACTAGCTCTGTAGACCAGGCTGGCCTGGAACTCACAAAGATCCGCCTGCCTCTGCTTCCCAAGTGCCACCACTGCCCGGCTTATTGCATATGTCCTGAGTGTTTTGTTTTTTTTTTTTTTTTTTTTTTGTGTGTGTGTGTGTGTATGTGTGTGTGTGTGTCTGTGTCTGTGTGTGGGTCTGCATGTGTGTGTATGTACATGCACCATGTGTGTGCTTAGTGCCTGCAGAGGCCAGAAGAAGACATCAGATTCCCTGGAACTGGAGGTACAGATGGTTGTGAGCTGTCATGTAGAATCCGAACCTGGGTCCTCTGAAAAAGCAGCCAGTGTTCTTAATGACCCAGACAATTCTAGCCTCTCAATTCTTTAAAAAAAAAAAAAAGACTTTTAAAAGCTTTATTCATGCTTATTTATGGGTTATCTACATGCCTGTATGTACACCACATGTATTCAGGTGCCAGGGAAGCCAGGAGAGGGTATCAGGTCCCCTGTAACTGGAATTACAGCCAGTTGTGAGCAGCCCAATGTAGGGGCTGCGAACCCAATCTGGGTCCTCTAGAAAAACAATACATGTTCTTGACCACTCTAGCCCTTTTAAAATTACATATATACTGGTGTGTGTAGTGGGGCAGATGCAAGTATTAGTGCAGGTGCCTCAGGGGTCCAGAAGAGGGCCTCAGATTCCCCCAGAGCTGGAGTTATGTGGGGTGTGGAAAGCGAAGTTCAGCCCTCTGTAAGAGCAGCAAGGCACTATTAACCACTGACCTCAAGTAAATTACATCATATGCCTTCCCACCGTCACTACCCTCGTCCATGCCTTTACTATGCTCCGGCAAAACAGTTTATATTTTCTGCATCCATTTTGCACACAGTACCATTGGTCTGTTTTGTGTTGCTCAAGACAGGGGTCTCTTTACACAGCCTAGGCTGACCTAGAACCTGCTGGTATAGTCCAGACTGGCCCCTTCTGTCTCAGCCTCTGGAGCATAAACCACCATGCCCAGCTCATAACCATTTCTAACATAAAAATCTGGAAAAGTTGCTGCCATGCTTAAACTCCCTTAAATTCATTTTCTTTTGCTGCTAAAACAAGGTTGGGGCAGACTAAACAATTTACTGTAAAACACATTTATTATCTCAGCATCCTGAAGGCCAACATCCACTTACTGAGTAGCTCAGCCAGGACCTTAGTATACAGTCATGTGAGTCCGAGCCAGAGCGTCTGGGCTGCACACTTCCAGAAGCCCCGGAAAAGAACCTGAGTCCATGCTCACTCCAGCTGCTGCCTGAATCGTGTCCCTACAACTGCCCCCCTTGCAGGCAGGACCAGTCCTTGCTCCGGTATTTCTCCAACTTTCTCCATGGTCCCCATCGGTCGTGGAGGCTAACCCTCTCTGACTTCTGCTTTGCCCTCTGTAGCAGATTGCTTCTGCTTTCAGTTGGAGAAATTCCTCCACTTTTCAGGGTTCCTGTGTTATACTGAGCCCATCTACCTAATCCAGGCTAAATTTCTGCTTTAAAGGTCCATAATCTTCCCTCTATCTAGAAAGAGCCTCTGCCAAGTCACGTAACATATTCATAGGCTCCACCATGCAGGGTGCAGGCATCTTCAGGGACCATTCTACCTAACAGAACTCTCGTTCCATTCTAAATTCTTCTAAAGCCACTGCTCTATAGCGTAAGTCCCCTGCCTTTTCACGCTTCCCCTGCTCCTCACACCCTCACCAGTGCCCCATGCATTAGCCATTCTCTGAACGCTGCCTCATTTCCCTTCCCACGGCCTGTATGGAACCCATTTCCCACCATTTTGCTATATACCCTTTGCTACAAACTCCACTATAACCATGGTCAAGAAGACCTGCCTGGGTCAGACCCCACCTCCCAGTCCCAATCACTTAGCCCAGTTACCAAGTAACATGAAAAAGACACTATGTATAAGTATTAATAATGGGCCAGTGAGATGGCTAAGAGGAGAAGGTGCCTGCGGCTATGCTTGAAACCTGAGTTCACTCCATGGGACCCACATGGTAGAGGAGAGAACCGACCCTAATGAGCTGTCTGTCCTCTGACCTCCACACATGCTATGGCATTTCCATCCAGCCCCAACATACACAGTATAGAAATAAGTGTAATAGCCGGGCAGTGTTGGTGCACACCTTTAATCCCAGCACTCGGGAGGGAGGCAGAGGCAGTTGGATCTCTGTGAGTTCGAGACCAGGCTGGTCTACAGAGCTAGTTCCAGGATAGGAAAAAAACAACAAGATAAAACAAAACAAACAAAAACCAAGGGGCTGGAGAGGTGGCTCAAAAGAGCACTGGCTGCTCTTCCAGAGGTCTGGGTTCAATTCCCAGCAACCACATGGTTGCTCATAACCATCTATAAGATCTGGTGCCCTCTAGAACACTTTATACATAGTAAATAAATAAAATCTTTTAAAAAAATAAAAAAGAATAAGTGTAATAAAAATTTAAGTATTAATAACAAAGTGATAAAAAGATAATTTGCAGATGATGGAATGGTCCACTTAGGAGACCTTTTCCCTTACAAATGAGAAAGACATCAGAATGAATGGGTAGTTCAATAAAGTAGGTGATTATTGAGGCAAAAAAAAAAAAAATTACTGCACAAAAAAAGTTAAGAGCTTCTTTAAAAAGCATGCCAAAAATATACAATCAGAAAGCATAAGATAAGGGGCTGGAGAGATAGATGGCTCAGAGGTTAAGAGCACTGACTGCTCTTCCAGAGGACCAGAGCTCAATTACCAGCACCCACCTGGCAGCTCACAACTGTCTTTCATTCCAGTTCCAGGGGACCTGACCCCCATGACAAAACACCAATGCACACAAAGTAAAAAGAAAAAGACAAAAAGGAAATGTAGATGAAAAAAAAAAATCCCATTCACCATGGCAACAAACTCTACAAAGTACTTAAAAATGAACTTGGGAAGAAATGAACAAGACTTTCGCCAGAGAACACATCCGGCCAGAGCCATTAATGTAGCATGATCCTCTTGAGAGGATGCACACATGAAGAGGCGGGTGTGTGCACAGAGAGGCCAGACACGGGGCTCTCACTGACCCTGCAGCCCCTCATCAGCTGGACTGTCCGCCCAGCAAGCTCCGAGCTCCTCCTTGGTCTCTCAGAGCTGGGATGATGACTGAGAACTTGCTTCCTGCGTGGGTACTGGGAATCAAACACGGCTCCTCATGGCCTGTGCTGCTAACTGCCGCCCCAACCCCGGAATACAACAACTTCTTAAAGGAGGCTGTCAATGCAGGAAATACATCATTTCTCTAGAAAATTGCTTTAATTCTAGTCAAAATCCATATTAATTTTTTGCACTTGGTTCTAATTATTTGAGTTTGTTCCCCCAAAATAACCTTAAAAAAAAAAAAAGTAATTCTTGCATGTGCAGGTATGTGTGTGCTTACGTGCATGCTTGTTCATGTATGTATGGTGCACATGCACACGACTGCATACGCATGTGTAAGAGTAAGGATGATCTCAAGCAACATTCTCCTATTTTTTGAGAAAGTGTCTCTCATCAGCTTGGAGCTCACTCAACAGCCTAGTCTGGCTGGATAATGGTCCAGGCACTGATCACCAGAACGGCTGGTCAATGGTTTAGGCATTTGTCACCAGCCTCTGCCTCTGCAGCCCTGGGGTAACAAGGGCACACCACTACACACCACAACACCTGGCTTTCTCTGTATGGGTTCTGGGCTGGAACAGAGGTCTTTATGCTTGCAAGATCTGTACTTGGCTAACTGAGCCATCACTCAACCCTTTTTTATTTTGTTTTTCAAGTTCTCATGCATGTATAAATTGTACTTGAACGCATTCTGCCTCATCCCTTTATGTGTCCTTTATGTTTTAACCCCACTAGTTAGCCCCTTTTGCCCATTACAGTTTCATTTCTACTGTCCGGTCACATAAACAAACATGATTTCATACCTTCATATAAAGTCTAGAAAGTACAACTGAGAGAACACATATGACAGTTATCTGAAACTTTTAAAATGAAAAAGAGAAAGTGAAGCCGTATGGGGAGTAGCCAGACTTAGCTTCGTATATATCCTCCCAACATTTCAACAGCAGGTGTGAGAAACTCGCCCAGCCAAGCTGCAGGCATACCGCAACAGTGGACACCAGCAGAGTCCTCTAACCTGACTCTACTCTGCTAACAAGTGGGCTTGAGGCTGGAGAGATGGCTCAGTTGTTAAAAGCACTTACAGAGGACCTCAGCCTGGAGATAGCATCAGCTCCCATAGGTGGAGAGCAAAGTCTCATCAACCCATGCCAGATGCCAATCACAGCCCCAGCCGGATTTCCCAGTACTTCTGACCCAGGGGCTACAAATCAGGGTTCTCCTGACTCCTGCCTAGGTTCCATTCATTGGTTGGACTGGCTCACAAATCCCAAAGAAACACTTGCATTTAGCAGTTGATTGTAAGACATTACAAAGGATATAGATGAAGACACATGTTAGGTCACATAAAGGACAGGGGACACAGGGTTCCCATGGCCTCTGCAGCTGG